TACTACGGTCATTTCAACCTCCGTTGTCCGCCAACTATGAACCCTCTAACCATATTCGGATGACTAATCTCCATCTCAAGTTGACTTTGGTCCCTTTGACCATCATCGCCTGACTATGGTCCTTCGGACCACCGTGGCCCAACTATGGTTCTTTCGACCTTTGTTTCTCAATTATGGTCCCTCCGATCACCGTCACCTCATTAAGGTCCTTCCAACTTCTGTCACCAGCCGATTATAATCCCTCTAACCAATGTCGCTCAACTACACTCCTTTTAATCATCGTCACTAGAATACGATCCTTCCAACCATTATTGCATGTCGACTATGGTCCCTTCAACCATCATCACTCGACTACAAATCTTTCAACCTCCATTGCTTGATGGATATGATCCATTCGACCACTATCACCCAACTAACATCCTTCCTATCATAGTCTCCTTATTATGGTCATTCCGACCTCCGTCGCCTGCCAACTATTATCCCTATGACCACTGTTGACCGACTACAGTCTTTTGAACCTCTATTTCATGACTATGATTCTTCTATCCTCCGTCACCTGACTACGGTCTCTCCAATCACTGTCGCCCGACTACAACCACTATCATCTAACTATGATCTTTCCAACCTATGTCGCTTGCTGACTATGATCTTTTTTACCATCATTATCTGACAATGGGCCTACTAACCAAAAAAAGTAGGATAACACTCTTGAAAACAACTATCATGTCATTCTCCAACTATATAATGTGCTCTATACAATATGTATTTGTTAGATTGAGCTAACCTCCGACATGTTAACTGGGCTAAGCCCTATGGTTTTTGCATTTTTAGGGTTTTCCATGAAAAAAATTTATGCCTCTTATGACTCTTGCATCCCTCGCTCTCTTATCTGTGTGTGTGTTGGATGTTTGTACAAAACTAAGAAGCGAAACCTTATCTCTCTCTACCACAGCAAATGTTCCAGGACAGTAAACCTTATATCTCTCTACCACCGCAAACGTTCAAGGACCCAACAATGTTCAAGAGAACAAACTTTATAAATTATAAGAGATTTTAAATAATTAGTGATAAATAAACATATTAATGATGATATATCTTATAATGATAAAGAATGAAAATTTATTTAATAAAAGTAAAATTTAAATATTTTTTAAAGAAATATTAACTATAATTATATTATGACATTTTCATTAATTTTAAAATTATATAATAGAAGAGAGAGAGATATATAGAGAGAGAGAGAGAGAGAGAGAGAGAGAGAGAGAGTTTATTTTTGAAAATTTAATTAGGAAATTGAATTATATTCTAAAAGAATAAGTTTTAAATAACGAGTTACGTAAATTAGGAGCAATTTGTCATTTAAATTTTGATAAAGGTGCTGAGAAAAAGCGAAGTATCATAATATCTAGATTCGAGCTAGGTCAGTGCTCATATTCCTAATCTTACAATAATTATATTATTTTCTCTAAATTGGCTGCATTGAATCAATTGACATTGGTTAGTCATTTATTATTATAAAATTCATAATATCTAGATTCGAGGTCAGTGCTCATATTCCTAATCTTACAATAATTATATTGTTTTCTCTAAATTGGCTGCATTACATCAATTGACATTGGTTAGTCATTTATTATTATAAAATTCCCATATTATATTTCAATGAATGGTCATATTGAAATTTTGATAGCCTGCTTGATTATCATTATAAAAACTTATTGAAAGAAATATAAATGAAATGGCTATATAGAAATATATGCTTGCTTATGTATTTAGATTGATGGAGCACACTCCCTTATGAAAAAAAAGCTTTAGAAAGAGAAATGGAAAGAAAAATGGGAATGGAAGAATAATCGTTTATGTTACAATATTAGAATGTGGCTCATGTTAATGTTATATTAGGAAATTACAAAAACATGATATATGTGTCATGTATAAATTAGCATAACATTGATGATCATATTTAAAATGAATAAAAGTATTTTATATTTTGAAATGATCATGCTTATTATTATAAATTCTTTGTATTACTATAATTTAAAAATATGACATACTCACTGAGTTATGACTCACTCTATATTTACAAAATATTCACAAATATTATTCAAGGAACCATATGAAATAATTTAGAAGACTACTACGTACATAAAATTATATGCAAATTTGGATTCAAAGACGAGTGATGGTGATTTGGTAATGGATTTGACTGCTGCTGCATTTTTTTATGGTACCTGATTTAGCTCCCACCTAACATATTATGAAAAAGAAATCATGCATGAAATGTTAACAGAGCTGAAAATGAAAAGAACGAAACATTTTGTTTTTGAGGGAGCCCAAATCAATACTGCAAATTATAGGCTTGACAAAATAAACAATACAGTAATTATTAATAAAAAAATCAGTGACAATAATAAGTCTAAAACTTATGACTGTCATTAACAACTATTAAAAATAGTAAATTTGACTGATGAGTTTCTTCATGTGTTTCTGATACCACGAATTGATCTAAGAGATCAATATGCTCTTTTAGGGGTGGAGCTAATTTTATTTTTGAGGGTGGGTAAAGCTAGTGGCAAGCATTAAGAGAAGCGCAAATGGCTGAAGTTTTTAGCGGATCGCAGGGAGGCTGAGTCGAAGTAGAAGTCTGACAAATATGAACTAGCTAGATAGAAGAAAAAATGAGCATGAGAAACGATGAGTGGTTGGGTAGTTGGGCTTATGTGAATTGCATTTGGATTGGATGTGAACAAAACTATTTAAGATAGGGCAAAAAAAAAAGTTTAGGAAGGGCAAATTTTCAAAATTGTTCTCCCTTATAAGTAAAACTTAATTTTGAAGCCGACTCAATATGGTTCTGCTTAAGGGTGTCAATATTTGGCATGACCTAATAATCCAATCCAAAAATTTTGGGTTAGGGTCAACCCGTTTGTCGTATGGGTTGAGTTCGGTTTCAACAAATTGTCCCATTTCAAAAATTGGGTTAGTGTTGACCCGAAAACTCGAGAATGACCCAAAACCGACCAGCACCCCAACTCCCGCAGTCCCGCCGTACCACGCTCAGGTTTGCACCAGACCGAACCCTAGGGCCTAGCTCAACACCAAGCCACTCCGCCGCTCCCGCTGGCCCGCACTGCACCCTAGATCGCTAGTCATTAGTGTCTGGCTCCACCGCACTGCACCCTAGCTCCCGAACACCCAGAGGGTGAGAGCGAATGCGGGCGCGTAACAAGCGTTCTCACTCGAGTACTCGACTTGGTAAAATTCGGGTTACCATGTCAGGTCTGGTCAACCCGGTAACCCGACAGGTCGGGTTCATATCTGAACTTTCGACCCGTTTACAAAACCGTGTTGGGTTAGGGTCTATCCATTTGAACCCGGGTCAGTTCTGAATTCGACCCGTACTTGACCCAAAACCCTATTTTGACACCCCCTAGTTTCTCTCCTATTCTCCTTCCATCACATCAATAAGCTCAGTCTACACATTTCAGAAAATTAAATATATTCATCACCACTTGGTGGTATAGCTGAATCAATTCAATATCAAAACTTGATAATTAAAGTTCTTACAGCTTTAGAAATACATTTCTAAATATAATTTGATCCCATTAATCTTATCTTCTTCGCTGCATTTTTATTAAGTAATAAAGGTCTAAGGATTGTTAATATAATGAATCAGCCTCCCTACCTCAATAGATAATATTTGCTGACAATGGCTGATGAGCCTCCCTAGAATAAAAATTGTTATTAACTACAGGGACTCTCATGACTGATCTGCTCTACTCTGCCAAGATTTCAGAGCTGTGTTGTTTATGATGAGAAAAACAAATCACAAATTGCTATTAATCTGACAGTTCTGACAAATTTTTATCAGAAACTGATCAAGCTGATCTAAAGTAGTACTTAGGCTGGACTTTCAATGGGATTTAGAACCATTTTGTCAGTTAAATGATAGAGCAGTGTGAACAGTGTTGTCAATATTTTGAGACAATAAAGCATTCATGCATGAGGATTAAGATCAGAAGAAAAAAATATAATTTGAAGTAATAAAGAAAGAAAACATTTTTAAGCAGGAATGATTTGTGATTAACAAATTAAATAGGCTGAGAAGTTCATGGATGAAGAGGCGGGATCGAGGGGTTGTTTGGGACAGCTTTTTTGTTGCTTTGTTTTTCAGACATCATACACAATTTAGTTTGACTATTATTTTCTTGTTATTTTCTCGCTACTTTTTCCAAAAAATTTTTATGAAAAGCTAAGTTATTTTTTTATGAAATTGATTGTAAGGTTATTTTCTCATAATAACTTAACAACAAATTTTGTAAAACATTGTAGCCATCTCAAATGGACAATCAATAACTTTTTTTATACAAAATATATATTTTTTTTTTTTTTTGAACCAAGCCAAAAATAACAATTCGAGAACTAACAAGAAAGAGACAATCAATATAGAATGAAGCAAAAGCTAGCCGGGCTCAATCATTGGCAAGAAGCATTCTGCAAACACCCAGAAGCAAGGCAAGAACCATCCAGAGTAGGAATCAAGCAACAACCACTAAACATATAAATAGGAACCACCACCAATGGTTGCCAGCAAGCCACGGCCGACCAGGAGTTGAACAAAAGGTCTCCACATCATTAATCGGACTTCGAAGAAAAAGCAATAACAACAAGGCAAGCCCCCAACACCACCAAAATAGACAAGGAGCCCTTCAATCACCAACCAAAGAAATAAGCCATTCCCAACCAAACATATCACCACAGAAGACCCAACTCAAAAAAGTCTTTTTTTTTTTTGGATTTTCGACGATCACGCTTAACACTCTTTTTTAGATACAACATTTTCAGCAAATTGAATAATACTTAATTCAAAATTATCCCGCGAGTCCAAATCTTTCTCGATAATTTCCTCCCCGCCATCTGAAGAATTGTCAATATCTAACCAGTCACTATGCATCACCTCATAATCCCTTGATTTACTAGAAAGATGAGCAAACGAAGCATCACTAGACAAATATATGCACCTCAATAATAGGCACAACAGTTTTATCCATAAGAACAAATCCATTAGAAAAGGAAGCATTAAAATGAGCGGGATTATCCAAATCATTACCAACCTCACCACTATCAACATGCACAATCTCAACTATAGGTGGAACAAAATCATCAACCACACGGTCTCCTGACTCCATAGGGACAAAATAATCAAAAGCTGCAGCTTCACGGCCCACTAGCTTCAAAAAAGCAGAACTACAATCCACGACATTATCATCCGCCACAACATTATCAACATTATATATATTGAAAATTTAATTAGGAAATTGAATTATATTCTAAAAGGAAAGTTTAAAATACCGATCTAGATAAATCAAGAGCAATTTATCATTTAAATGTTGATAAAGGTACTAAGAAAGAGTGACGTATCATAATATCTAGATTTGAGGTCAGTGCTAATATTCCTAATCTTACACTAATTATATTATTTTCTCTAAATTGGCTGCATTGAATCAATTGACATTGGTTAGTCTATGATTATCATAAAATTTCCATATTATGTTTCAATGAATGGTCATATTGAGGTTTTGATTGGCTGCATGATTATTCATCGGATGTATTATAAAAGTTATTGAAAGAAATATAAATGAAATGACTATATAGAAATTATTGCATATGTATGTAGATTGATGGAGCACACTTCCTTATGATGTTGATGTGGTATGCTGAGGAAGAAGCAGGTTCACAAGAGCTGAACAGTAACGAAGGCAATGGAACAGCAATGACTAAGGCCAAATAGTATATTTCATCAACTACTGAACTCATCTTCTCAAAGAGAAGAAATACAAAACCAGAGAGCTAAAAATAGCTCTACAAGCAAAGAAAGTGCTTGTACTAACTACTAAAAACGGTAATCACTAGTGGAGCAGCCTGCAACTTTAACAGAAAGGAAATAACATAAAGCAAATAATTAAACATAATATAAAAGTATTTAATTTTAACGATAACTCATCCAACGGTGAGGATGCTCCGCATCATTCTCCCCCTCCATCTGAAGAATCTGAATCTATTGATGAGAGATTGGTAGGAGCTTCGTAGGGCGGATGGTACATAACAAGATCCCCGATGTTGAAAGTAGATGAAGTATTGTAGTGACTCGGCAGATCGATCACATAAGCATTCGGATTAATCTGTTTGAGTACCGCAAATGGACCAATCTTTCTCAGACTTAATTTGGATTTGTATGCCTATGGAAAGCGTTCGCGCCTCATCCTGATCATAACTAGGTCCCCGGGCTTAAATTCCCTTTCTCTGCGGTTTCTGTTGGCATCCTCTTTATATTTATCATTGGACTCCGCCAATTTCTCCCGGACCTCTTAGAGCATTTTTTAGAATTGTGCCGCAAAGTCGGCGGCGGGCTTACTAGAGCATTTAGGTAAAACGGCGAGGTCAACCGTGTGATTCGGAAGCTTCGTATACACTATGCTGAATGGGCTCTTTCCGGTGGACCGGTTAGTCATACTGTTATAGGCAAACTCTGCCTGTCCCAAAAGATCGTCCCATGACTTTGGATGCTCCTGTACTAGCAACGAAGCATATTACCCAGGATTCGATTGATGACTTATGTCTGCCCATCCGTCTGAGGATGGTACGCCGAGCTGAGTTTGATGTCGGTGTGTAGACGCTTCCATAGCTCCTTCCAAAAATGACTAGCAAATTTAACATCACGATTGGATGTGAGACTTCGGGGTAGTCCATGAAGTCGGACGACTTCTGCGAAGAAGATGCAGGCTACATTTAAGGCATCGAAGGTCTTCTTGCACGGCACAAAATGAGCCATCTTCGAAAAGCGATCAACCACGACCATAATAGAGTCATGACCGTGCTTAGGACACGGCAAGCCCATTAAGAAATCCAAGCTGAGATCTTCCCAAATGGTCTCCGGCGTTGGCAACGACAAGTACAGCCCGGTGAGTTGGCCACCCGTTTTATAGCTTTGACAAATTGGGCATCTCTCGACGAATCACATTACATCTCTATGCAAATGCGGCCAAAAAAATCGTGCTTGTAGCTGCAAATAAGTGTTCCTCCTTCCCACATGAGCCACAAGTCCACCACAGTGAACTTCCTTGATTAGCTGAGGACGCCAGGAAGAATCAGGGATACATAGCTGATTTAATTTGAATAAGAATCCATGCCGGATTGAGAAATCCTTGATGGGTTTTCCTTGCACACAGTCCGCCCAAATTTTAGCGAAGTCCGAATCCGCATCATATAGGTCTTTCAGGCATTCCAACTCGGTGATTTCTGTTTGTAGTTGAACGAGGAGTGCATTGCGTCGACTAAGCGCATCCGCGACAATATTTTGGGCTCCCGACTTATGCTTCAACACAAAGGAGAATTGCTGTAAAAACATGACCCATCTTGCGTGCATATGATTAATGTGTTTTTGATTGTTGATGAACTGTAATGCTTGGTGATCGCTACATAGAACAAATTCTTGGTGGAATAAATATGGTTCCCATTGCTTCAATACTCGCACCACCACGTAGAGTTCCTACTCGTACACGCTCCATTTTTGTCGGGAAGGACAAAGTTTCTCACTGAAGAACTCGACTGGTCGATTGTCTTGGCTGAGTACTGCTCCTATTCCGATGCCGGATGCGTCCGTATCGACGTGAAAAGGTTTTTCAAAGTTGGGTAGAGCTAATACAGGAGCAGACGACAAAGCTTGCTTAATTTCTTCAAAGCTGTGTGCTTGATCAGCTCCCCAGCTGAAGTTTTTAGACTTCAAACAATTAGTGATCGGAGCCATCATCGAGCTGAAGTTTTTGATGAACCGATGATAGAAATTGGCCAGTCCATGAAAACTTCGCACCTCCGTGAATGACTGGGGCACTGGCCAATTCGTAATAGCTTCCACCTTGCGCTTGTCAACTTGTACACCTGTGCCCGAAACAACAAAGCCAAGAAAGTATACAGCGGGAGCAGCAATTTCACACTTGTATTTAAAAATAGCTGCTTCTGTCGTAGCACCGTGAAGATGTTCCCCAAGTCTACTACGTGCTCGACCATAGACACACTATAGACCAAAATGTCATCAAAGTAGGCAACACAGCAAATGTTGATAAACGGTTTGAGGATGTTGGTCATTAGGCGCATGAATGTGGACGACGCGTTGCACAGCCCAAACGGCATGACTTTCCACTCGTACAATCCTTGTCGCGTCTTGAATGCTGTTTTCCACTCGTCGCCTGGTCTAATCCAGATTTGGTGGTAGCCACTGCGGAGGTCCAGCTTAGAGAACACAGTGGCCCCAGACAGCCTAGCTCTCTAGAAGTTCTTCCACTCGTGGAACAGGGAACCTAAACTTCACTGTGATTTTGTTAATTGTGCGGCTGTCCATGCACATACGTCAAGAACCATCCTTCTTAGGAACGAGAAGTGCCGGGATGGCACATGGGCTCAAACTGTGCTGGATCAAGTTGTTCTTTAGTAGGTCATCCACTAGCTGTTGCAGAATTTGATGCTCCTTTGGACTGAGGCGATGATGAGGTAAATTCGGGAGGGTCGATCCGGGTACAAAATTGATCTGGTGTTGAAGATTTCTTAAAGGAGGTAGAGAAGAGGCTCCCTTCGTTAGAATGTCCTGGAATTGCTCTAACAATTGCTCCACAGACGACTGATCACCCGCATTGCTGCTTGGAACCGATTCATGAATGACCAACGCAAATAACAGAGTATCTTCTTTCCAGGATGACAATAGACCGTTACATGTGACTAAGTGCAAAGCAGGGGTTGCCATTTCGGTCTTGTCCCCGACTCCAAAAGAATGTGGAAGAAACCGGAGCTGTTTACCTTTCCACTCCACAGCATAGGTATTAGCCCGTCCATCATATACATCCCCAACGTCAAATTACCAAGGCCGGCCAAGGATAAGATGGCATACATCCATCTCTACAACATCGCACAAGACCTCGCAAATGTAGTGCTTACCGATTGAGAACTGTACTCGGCATGTCTCCGTAACTGCAATTTTCATGCCTTTCTTCACCCAACTAATTTTGTACGGTTGGGGATGCTTTGTGGTCTTCAATTTCAGAGCGTGCACAATGGCACGAGAAATTACATTTTTCGTGCAACCACTGTCAATTAGGAGATCACAAACCATGCCAGTTATATTGCACTTGGTTTTGAAAATGGAATGCCTCTGAGAGTGGCCAAGCTTACGGGGAGCCAGCAACAATTTTTCAAGAACGCATACTACAGGTTCTCCTTCATCACCGATAATGTCTTCCACATCCGTATGCAGCTCTTCTTCAAGATGAGCTCCTTCCTCCTCAGCTTCCCCTTCCAACAATTGTAAATGTTGCTGGTTTGGACATTCGTTGGACTTATGTCCCGGTTGAAAACATCTGAAGCATTTGAGTCCCTGTGGTCGTGGATATGGATTCTCTCTGACTGGAAATTTCGGTTTGACTGGAGACCTGGGATCAGAATTTGGCTTAGCCGGATTAGACGATCCACCAGCATCAGCTACGGGTGGCATTTTATGAGCGATAGTTCCATGTGGTTTTGAGGCCTCAGCACCAACTTATGGGAATGGTCTTCTATGAGTATTGCTTCGCTGGTGTCTTCCCAATTGTATTTCGGCCTTGAGCGCGAAATTGACTGCTTCTGATAGGGACCAGACGGAGCTCAACTCTAGTTTATCCTGAATGTTGTCCTTCAGTCCGCCTATGTACCGAGCAACCAACTGATTAGAAGTCTCGTTGAGATCGTTTCTGGCCGACATACGGTAAAATTCCTCCGTGTACTCACTGACCGAACGACCACCTTGAACACAATGTTGATATTTCAAATACAACATCTGCTCATAGTCAGTAGGAAGGAAATGCCCCCGTAGAAGCTGCTTCATCCGGAACCAACTTCGTACTGCACCACGCCCTTCCCGTCGACGAGACTGCAGTAGTTGTGACCACCAAGCACTCACACCTCCCTTGAGGCGGCAGGCCACGTACTTGACCTGTTTCTCCAGTTCGATCTCCATGTAATCGAAGAACTTCTCTATGGAATGCTCCCAATCAAGATAATCCTCGATGTGCAATCGTCCATCGAAGAATGGTATGTCTAACTTAACTCGGAACTCGCGTTGATGCCGATCACGTCCAGTAAAACGGCGAGGACGCCGCTCCTCCAGATCCGCGTCCGAATCAGAGAATCCCTCCGGATTGAAACTAACACGTTCATCCTCAGAATCCGATAGCTCAGGAAGCAATGCCGGGCGCCGACGTCCACGATTTGGAAACAACCTGTTCCCATCAGTTGGCGTAACCGTTGGTGGTACAGGTCGCACCATTCACGGCAGTACATCTCCAGTTCGGACGAACGGTGGTTCACGCCATAAAACAGCGGTAAGACGATCTACTGCCGCAGCAATATCATCCAATATCTTCTCGACTCCAGCGTGCGCAGCCCAAAGTGCCTCCAGACTTCGATCTTCCTCGCTCGTCGCACGCTTGCTAGACTCTGCCATCTTTCCAAGCCGTTGGCTCTGATACCAAAATGATGTGGTATGCTGAGGAAGAAGCATGTTCACAAGAGCTGAACAGTAACGAAGGCAATGGAACAGTAATGGCTAAGGGAAAATAGTATATTTCATCAACTACTGAACTCATCTTCTCAAAGAGAAGAAATACAAAACCAGAGAGCTAAAAATAGCTCTGCAAGCAAAGAAAGTGCTTGTACTAACTACTAAAAACGGTAATCACTAGTGGAGCAACCTGCAACTTTAACAAAAAGGAAATAACAGAAAGCAAATAATTGAACATAATATAAAAGTATTTAATTTTAACGGTAACTCATCCAACGGTGAGGATGCTCCGCATCAGATGTTGTTTAAGAACGTAATATACCCGCATGCATAAATATAAAAAGTAAAAAAAAAAAAAGACATGGAAAGGAAAATGGAAATGGAAGAATCATCGTAAATGTTACTTTAGAATGTGGCTCATGTGACTGTTGCTTAAAAAACTTATAAAAATATTATGTATGTGCCATGCATAAATTAGCATAATATTAATGGTCATATTTAAAATGAATAGAAATACTTTATATTTTGAAATGATCATACATATTATTTTAAATACTTTGTATTACTGTAACTTAAAATTTTGATATACTTACTGAGCTGTGACTTGCTTAGGGCTGCAAGCGAACCAAACGTTCGACGAGCTACTCGTTGTTCGGTTCGCTTAAAGCTCGTTCGTGTTCGTTTAATTAACTAAACAAACAAACTTGAACAATATTTTGAATACTCAATTATTAAATAAACAAGCTATGTTTGTGAACAACATCATTTGAAGTTTGTAAACAAGCTCGACATTAAGCTCGATAAAAAGCTCGATTAGTATTCGATTTTGAACTTGAATATATGCACTAGCAAATATGATTCATGTTTAATATAATCGTTGACTTCTATTTTAAAGGTATGTCTGAAAATTCACCAAAGCAGTTAGGATTGACAGTTCATGATGTCCAAATTAATGTTGGGTGATCTTCAAGTCCAATAGTTTTAACAGAACATGTTAATGGACATCTAAAAGTAGAGCTCGTTCATGTTTATTTGTTTAAAGCTCGATAAGCACTAAACGAACGAACATGAACTGAACATGAACACTCATTATTTTAAATGAACCAAACATGAACACAAACAATAAAGCTCGAACAAACATGAACCAAACTTGAACAACCTGATATTAAATGAACACAAACACGAACACTCACATACTCGGCTCGGCTCGGCTCGTTTGCAGCCCTAGACTTTCTCTATATTTACAAAATATTCACAAGTATTATTCAAAGAACCATTTGAAATAATTTAGAAGACTACTACATAAAATTATATGCAAATTTGGATTCAAAGACGAGTGATGGTGATTTAGTAGTGGATTTAATTGCTTCATTTTTTATGGTACCTGATTTAACTCCCACCTAACATATTATGGAAAACAAATCATGCATGAAATGTTAACTGGACAGAAAATGAAAACAACGAAACATTTTGTTTAGGATGGGGCCCAAATAATTACTACAAATTATAGGCTTGACAAAATAAGCAATACAGTTATTATTAATAAAAAAATAAATTATATTGAAAAATAAATCAGTAACAATAATAAGTGTAAAACTTATAACTGTCATTGACAACTATCAAAAATAGTAAAATTGACTGATGAGTTTCTTCATGTGCTTCTGATACCATGAATTGATCTAAGAGATCAATATGCTCCTTTAGGGGAGCCAGCTTTATTTTTGAGGATGGGCAAAGCTTGTGGCAGACATCAGAGAAGTGCAAATGGCTGGAGTTTTTAATGGATCGCAGGGAGGAGTCGAAGCAGAAGTCTGACAAATATG